TTTCTAAATTGCCATTGGATGCCCAAAACAAATCTGGCGTGGTGTACTCAAATCACCGACTGTGGTTCTTGAGTAAACAATCAATATTTTCAAGTGTTTTTTTTTTCTATAGGACTTTGGGTGTGAGCGCTGCACGCATTCAAATGAAAATTTAATGGAAAATCTTTGGAAAAAACAGCATTTGTTGTCATAAACAAATCAAAATTTTAAGATAAGTAAATACTAGACGTCGTTGTAAAAAATCATGACAATAGGGGTATTTAATTTCTTTGGTTTTTTATGGAAATTCGAATTTCACTGAACTTTAAAATATAAACACAACAATAAAGTGTCCTTTCTCTCCACCAAGAGGCTAGTCATAATAATTCCATATTGATAAGAAATACGAGGGTGGTTTGTAGATTCTCATTTCGAAAAGATGTGTTCGCTTATCTAATTTTAAATGTAATTTTAAATGTAATTTTTCTGAAATGGTTACTATTACGACATTTGACTTATGGTCAAACGTCGCGATTGACGAAGATGTTAGTCAAATCCCATCTTCATAAACCGCAAAATTTTCTACGTTTCCTAAGGAGTGCGGCAATATTGTCTATTTCGTATCTGACAAATATTATGACTAGTGTTGCCACAAGAGAAACATTTTTCCGACCAAAATTTCCCCAAAATCGAACCAACATGACTTGCTGCCGACCAAATTACAAAAAAAAGCTGTTACAATTTTAAATCAATTATTTAAATAAACAAACATGTAATTGAAATTCATTCTGTGTATATTTGTCTGTGTCTGTGTACATTTTCAAAATAATAGGCAAAATTTCGTGAGAATCAGACGATAATTGCGACCTTATATAATATCCTCAAAACGTAGGGTTATAAGGTGTAAACAATTGAATTGTCAATAGTCAAATTAAAACCAGTAAAGAAAGTCTTAAAGTCGGGCGGGGCCTACTTTATGATACCCTACACCACTTTGTTCATTTAGTAGAGCTGCGCATAACAATTAAAAGTTTTTATGGGAGAATTCAATCATACACGCTATGAGTAGAATTATAACTTATAGTTCAAAGGACTAAACATGCCGAAGCATTTGTATCTTTTAAATTCGGACTTGTATTGCCCATTTGATGCAGAATTAATTTGAAATCGGATAAAAATATATATGGGAGCTCAGAACCGATCGCGATAAAATTTGACAAATCGGATGAACAATATATATGGGAGCTATAGCTATATCTGAACCGATCTTCACCAAATTTAACATACTAGCTTCAAGACTCAATTCGGTCGTAAGTGCCAAATTTCAAAGGCAAATCGAACGAAGTTATATATGGGAGCTATATCTAAGTCTGAACCGATCTCGATAAAATTTAGCAAATGTATTTCTGAGCTGTATTTGGTATATTTCCCCAAATATTGTTGTTACAGAGCGCATATTACGGCTGCGGAGGACAAAAATAACAAATCGGATGAACAGTATATATGGGAGCTATAGCTATATCTGAACCGATTTCGATCAAATTTGGCATACTTATTTTCAGGTCCAATCTGATCGTACTTGCAAAATTGCATACTATTCGGACTGATATTACATGTTTGGTGCACAATAAAAGGCAAATCGGAGGAAGATATATATGGGAGCTATATCTAAATTTTGACCGATTATCTCCAATTTCAATAGAGTTCGTCCTTGGGCCAAAAAATGAATTGTGCAAAATTTCATGTGGATAGGACAATAAATGCGAACTGTACTTTGCTTACAAAACACCTTGTGGTGTAGGGGATAAAAATCTCATGCGGTAAAAAAACTACGACAAAAATTGATGGGCAATTCGGTCCACTCCTTCTTGTATATCCTCCGCAAATTTTCAAAAAAATATATTTTCTACACAGAAAGAGAAATGATAATCCGATTTTGCTCTTACTTTCAAATTCAAATATTCGCTTCATTGAGAGGTCAGGTGCGAAAATGGACAGTATCGCTCCACTCTATCAGTGCCTCCCCCACAAAGGGTCAACATTTTGAATAACTACAACTCTTATACAATGCGATGCAAGAGTCCAACTGTCTTTAAATTTTACACATCCCAATATTTTTATTAACACAAGGTCTGGTGTTATGATGGAACACATCGGTCCACTCCTTTTGGTACCTCCCCCACAAAAGGACGAACTTTTAAAAAATATATTTTCTGCACAGAAAGAGTAATGATAATCCGATTTTGCTCTTACTTTGCCAATCCAAATATTTGCGTCAGTGAGATGTCAGGTGCGAAAATGGACAGTATCGTTCCACTCTATCAAGTACCCACCCCACAAAGGGTCGAAATTTTGAATAATTGCAACTCTCATAAAATGAGATTTAAGGGTCCGATTTTCTTAAAAATTTGCACATCCTAATAATTTTATTAACACAAGGTCTAGAGGTAAGATGGAATACATCGTTCTGGTAGCTCCCCCACAATAAGTCGAAATTTTCAAAAAAATGTATATATATATTTTACTGCACAAAAAGGGAAAGAATAATCAGATTTTGCCCCAACTTGCAAATCCCAATATTTGCGTCTGTGTTAGGTCAGGTGCAAAAATGGTCAATATCGGTTCACTCCATCAAATACCTCCCCCACAAAGTATCAAAGTTTTATTTCCATCAACACAAGATCTGTTATAAAGATGGTATAGATCGGACCATTTCTTCTGGTACCTCCCCACATAGGTTTCAAGGCTTTGAAAAATAAAACACTCATAGAAAGCGAACTCCTTGAATTTCACACGCACACACAAAAAGTTTTGCTAACATAGGATCTGTTGTGAAGATGATATATGTCTGCGAACCTGTCGCAATATTTATATCACATTTATTAAGGTTCGATACAAAATGGACAATATTCCATTCCTTTGGAACTTACTCCATTACAGTTTGAATAATCATAACATAAGTCAAAATATACTTAAATAATCGAACATTAGCTGAGGGCATATGTTCTTTATAACAGATCTAGAGTTGGTAGAAAGGTTTAGAAGTACCAAATCAAAAATCATTTAACATTTAAATATAGTTTTGGTATATGGTCACAACTACTATTTTGCACAAAGGTCAATCTGGAGCAAGGACACGTTAAATATTGGTTTACAAAGCCTCAATCGTTGCTGGTTTATCCACGAATCCCCACAAAAAAATCGAGTGGCATTAAATCACACTAACGCGAAGCCCAGTTCATTGCTTCATTGCTCGAAAAAATGTTGTCGTTGAAACGTTCCTTCAGTAAGTCCATTGTTTAGTATGATAAGTGACACCCTCCTGATATCTCGGATTTTTTTTGTTTTCAAGGGAACTCTTTGAATTCTAAGTTCTTAATTTTTCGGCAAAAAATGTTATATTGTTCCAAGTTTTCCCAACTCTTTCTACTTGCTCTCATATAATGGTACCTCCCGATATTTCGTATTTTCATAACATTAGTCGCATTTTTTCCAACGAATTGTTTGACATTTGGTGTCTTAAGAGTTGTAGATTCTCTGGGAGCAAATTGAGTTACAGCCTATTTAAGGCCCGGTCGAACTTCCGAACCGAAGACGGACCGAACTTCAAAGAATATTGATGTGAAATTCGGGAAATTGAGAGTTGTCGGAACGGTTTCGAAACGAACTTGGAAGTAATAATGAGTGCATTTTAGATTTTTTTGCCGAGATTCTAACAGTTTTCGGTTCGAACACAGTAGAAAGGACTTATGAAGTTCTGATATACACATTAACAACAACTGTCATGATGTATTGATAAAAACAAATATAAATAAGTAAAAAGACATTAAGTTCTGTCTCGCCGAACTTCTATTCAAAATATTTTTATACAAAAGTATTTGGATCCAAACATGTTCCACTTCCAGCTCCAGCAAGATCGGGAGGAGAATGCAGTTATAGTTTTCAAAAAACAATATATCTAAACGGCCATATACCCTCCACCATTTTGAAGGAATTTGAAAAATTTTAAAAAAAGAAAAATCAGAAACCTACCACTCAATTGAAAACCTTTATATGGAGACTAAACGAAGACGCGGACCTGCTTACGAAAATGGATAATCCATTACAATCTTCAAATACGAAAATTTTTGTCATAGGCTGTAGTACTCATTGCTAACTTTAAATACAAAATTTGTTACAGTTCCGGTGAATAATGTCGCAAAAATCATCAAAATACTGACTATCGGGAGGTAACCTTATATGAGGGACGTGAACCTGCATACGAATTTTTTTCTATCGGTTGTAGCAACCATTAAGATCTCCCAATACGAAATTTGAAAGGATTCCGGTGAATAATGTTGCTGTAATCATCAAAATACCGAATATCGGGAGCTACCGTTATATTGTTGGCTATACGTGGACCTGCGTACAAAAATGTTATTCATAGGCTGTAGTACCCATTACGAACTTAAAATACGAAATTGGGGGGCTATACGAAAATGCGTACCGATATGGCTCATTTACAAACTTAACCTGCCTACTGGTAAACTATGCATATATGCAAAATGTTATCCTTCTATCAGAACAAACAGATAGACCAATGGACATAGCTAGATCGTCTTAGAATTTTACGCTTATCCAGAATATATGTACTTTGTAGGGTCTATTGTGAATATTTCGAGGAGTTACAAGCGGAATGACTAAAGACCGTCCAAAGAATGGTGGAGGGTATAAAAATACTTCAAAGAAATTGCTCAGAATTCGGACCTACGTCGATCAGACTCATCGAACATCCAACATTTGGTTCGCTGGGTATGCACATGTATATATTAAATTATATTATTACTTATTAGAGCGGATCCGCTCTTTGTTAAGAAATAAAGGTCATCTTTATAGAAGTCATAAATCTGTGTAACAACATCGATGGATTGGCATAATTTCTTTTCCTTTTATAGTTCTACAAATAAAACCAAACTTTTAAACTTACTTTACATCCGAAGATAAGATGCTTACTTACCTTCGTAAAATCCTGTGCTCACAATTTTATTTTTTGAAAAAAAAAAAAACTTTTATATTTTTGTTGATCTGCTTTGATTACATGTTATATTTTTTATACATCTTAAGAAATAACACTCCAAAATATATACCAAAATCGTCCTAACGAACCAACTTGATGTTGTGGGTGAAACAGCACTTCTTGCCACTGGGAGCTGTCAAAGCCCATTTAATGTTGTAGGTGTTCAAGGGGAATTTGCTGTCCATGGGAATCTCAACTTTGTAGGTTTGTTGTTCACCGCTCTTGACTGGGCATGCGGTGTATTTGCAAGCTTCTCTGTCCATGGTGATCAAAGGCAATTCATTGCCGGTGTTAGTGACCCAATTCAACGAAGCACTCAAGGTATCGGCATCAAAATTGGGTTTGAAATCCAATTCCATTGTGGCTGGCTTACGGCGTCTCAAGGTGCAGGGGGCATTTGCATTATCACGGGCACAGGGATCAACACGTACCTCCAGCAATTCGCAATCGTTTACATCACATTCTCTGATTTGGGCCACTTCGGCGAACGCAATACCCATAATGGCAAAGATCAACAATGATTTCAAGGAGTACATTTTACTGTTCTTTTTTTTCTCTCTCTCGGGTTATTTTCTAAGACGTCTGTTCACAAGGCAGCAGTACGGAAAAATGATTGAAATTTTTGTATTTTACTTTAATTTTATAATACAAATTGTCATTTGCATTGCCTGCTTTGGGCTATTTGTGTAGAGTTTCAGATTCCTATAGATTCTCTTCTTTCTACATTTTAAATTGACCTTTTCTCAGTCAGCGTTTTTCTGTTCGATGATAAGACCAACACAGATAATTTCTTATCGCATTTTGTGAGACGGCAGACCGAAGCTGAAAGAAATCGGTATTAAAAATTAAATTTAGATGTGTTTGTATTTGTTGTATATTGACATGGGAGAATATTTTTCTAATGATTAGAGATTAATGTTAAATTTTCTTATCAGAAAAGTGAGATTTTTGAAAGGTATTAATAGATTCTCTTCTTAGAAAGAGGTATTTTATGAGGGTTGTATGTAAAGTTTGGGAAGGTTTAGAAGTTATGTATGTATTTTACATGGAAGAAATTAGAGAATATCAGTATGTTTGCAAGTGCATATATGAAGTTTATGAATTTTAAACTTCATTTTGGAGGAGGTTAACATAATTTAAATAATCTAGTAAAGATAGGTCAAAAGTCGGGCGGGCGGTCCGACTATATGACACCCTACTCCACTATGCGTACCAAAATATGTTTATATTGGGAATTAATGTGAAGTAGATAATACCAACCATGAACCTTATTTGAATGCGTATCATGGCTTTAGAGTAGTTACAATTTGGAAACCATATCCAACTCTTAATCGATTTTCAACAAATTTGACGGAAGGCTTTTGCACCTCTAGAGCCCGATGCCATTGCGGTATAGTGCATTATATGACTACGATAAGAACTATATAAAAAAAATTTATTAAAACAATATATATACTGGACTCAGTTTCAGCAAATGGAAAAATTCGGTTGAATTAAAAAAAACAAGTTAGCAAAGGCTATAGTCGTGCGAGGACGACCATGTAATACCCTACAACACTACCATATGGTAGAAATCCATTTTGGAAAATTTCGCTTTTAAAATTATGTCACGGAGCACTGCACTGATATTACCCTTAGCTTTTTGACCAGAGGCATTTGCCCAATATTTACGAACACCATCGTAAGTTACAGCTAAATATAATTAATTGGCCATTCATAATGCTAGACTCCTTTCCTATCATTCACTCTCTTCTCATGCAAAATAACGTGTCTATTGGTTTCAATTGTGTGATCGGGAAATTTTTCCTGTTTTTGGTTCATTTGAACCCCTAAATATTTTGCGATCATCTCCAAATGCAAGAGGCCAATCTGTATCTCTATTTGTGATTTCGCCGGGATTAAAAATATTTGCGATATAGAGGGAAATTTGACTTTTATTTAACACAAAAGTGAAGGCTTTTTTCCAGCCTTAAGTTCTAGCCGCCTGCTATCTTCCGCGTCTATTGGACCTGTATATATGCTCTACAATTGCGACCTGTAGAGCAACTGCAAAATCGGGATTTTTTTACTTTCCTATGTGGGAAACACATATTTCGGGGTATTACATAATTTTGGTCCAATCGAACTTATAATACACTCAACACAGTGTTGTAGGGTATAAAAAGTTTCCAATTTGGGCTGATATTACATATTTTTTTTTAAATTTTATTGAATGAAAGCAAAAAATTTCGGAAATAGCATCAACTTTTAGAAAAAGTTTAGATTTGTTCGAATTGGTCACCTTTGACACGAATTATGGCCTTCAAACGGCCAATGAAATCATCACACGCTGCCGAATGTTGCTCTGCTGTATTTTGGCCCATTCCCGGCGAAGCGCCTGCTTGAGGTGATCGACACTTTGGTACTTTTTAGTGCCTAAATACTCCAGACACAATAGTCCAACGGATTGGTATCCGGAGATTTTGATTGCCACTGTGCGCTGGAAATGAAGCGAGGAACCTCATTTTGTAACCATTCTTGGGTGGCGCATGCTGAGTGCGATGGTGCTGAGTCCTGTTGGAATGTCCAAGACCTGCGGCCAAAATGTTTGCGTGCCCAAGGCTTAAATACACCCTCCAGAATATTTTTGCGATAATATTCGGCATTTAATCTGATGCGGTCGATTAATACGAGCGGAGAGCGACCATCGGCTGTTATGGCGGCCCAAACTATCACTATTGCTGGCTCTTGAATTCTGGTGGCCAACCGAAGGTGCACATAAGTTTTCAGCAGACCTCTTTGGAAAGTAAACACGATAATTTTGTTTGTTTACAAACTGCTGGACAACGAATGTTGTCTCATCGGAGAAACCCACATTCGGCAGTTCACCACTTTCGGCCTCTTTAGCTCTTTTTTGTCTATCTTCTTTCTGTTTCGGTGCAAGTTCTTGCACTTTTTGGAATATCAATGGCTTTACCCCGAGCTCATTTTTCAATATTTGCCGAATGGAATATTGCGATATGTTCAGCTCATGAGCCATTTTTCGGCCACTGCGACGCGGGTTTCGGCCAAGTCGCATCTTTACTTTTCGAACCATTTTGCTGATGTTGTTGTTGTTTCTACCGTCCACATCCTTGACGTCGGGCTACGCTACCCGTACCGCGGTAACGAACGATGGTACGAGACACAAAAGATTTATTCAAATTTAAATGCTGGAGTGCTCTCACGATAGCCGCTTGTGGTTTTCCAGTCAAATATAAAGAATTCCATCACGAATAACTTTTTTTCTGGAAAATTCTCACCAAAAAGCTTTTGTAGCTGTCGCTAGAATAATTTTAACAGCTTTCGGACGAGTGGCTTAGACATGACAGCAGTCTGAAGTTGGCTGCAGTTTTTTCAACTCACCCTTTATATGGTGGACAATAACCGCAAAATCGGATGAAGATGTGTATCGAAGGTATATAAAAGTCTGAATCGATCTCGATAAAGTTTAGTAGAGGTATTTTCGAACTGTATTGGATGTCCTGTATCAAATATCCTTGTTGTGGAGTGCATATTGCGTATGTGAAGGACTTTCACATCAAACCGGATGAAGCATATATATGGGAGCTAAAGCTATCTCTAAACCTATTTCACCAAAATTAGAAATCTTGCCTCTAGGTTGAAATTCGTCGGAAATACCAAAATTCAGTCCATTTGGGCTGTGCACCAAAATAAACCTGAAATAGTTTAAAGATATATATGGGACCTATATCCAAATCTGAAAAGATCTTGACAAAATTTTAGGCATTTATTTCTGAGCTGTATCTGACAACTGGTACGAGAGATCATTGTTGTGGAGTGCATATTACGCATGTGAGGGACTTAAAACCCCAAATCGAAGTTATAGCTATATCTAAACCGATTTTTACCAAATTTGAAGTACTTGCTTCTAGAATTAATTCGGTCGCATTTGCCAAAATGATATTTGACATTTTGTGCACAATTAACCCGAAATCGGTTGAAGATGTACATGGGAACTATGTCTAAATTTAAACCGATTCTCACCAATTTTAACAGGGTTCGTCTTTGGGCCAAACAAATATTGTTTGGAAAATTTCATCTCAATCAGGTAATAAATGTGACCTGCATTTTGCTCACAAAAATATATGGACAGATGGACGAACGGACTGACATGCATAAATGTGACCTGCATTTTGCTCACAAACATATATGGACAGACGGACGAAAGGACGGATATGCATAAATAGACTCAGAAATTGATTCTATGAAGATCCTCAAAAGTAACTATGGGTCTATCTCGCTTCTTTCTCCATGTTACAAACAAATGCATAAAGACATAATACCCTTACCACTATGAGGTGTAGGGTATAAAAATGCACTTTGAAACATAGCGATAGGTTATATGACACGTAAAGGGGTTTTTATTGCTTCAAGACTTTTTAATGTTCGTTTACAACAGAAAGGTATAAAGACACCCCCATCTACTATGGAAGAGGCCATCTTGAAGTTTCCAATAGCAATTCTATGAACTTTCTCTTTTACATGGCACCTTCTCGTTAATTATACTCTCCACCTTGGAAAGAAGGGTATATTAACTTTGACATTCCGTTTGTAACATCCTTAAATATTCGTCTTAGACCCCATAAAGTATATATATTCATAATCAGCATAAAATTCTAAGTCGATTAAACGATGTCAGTCTGTCTGTCCGTCTGTCTGTTGAAATCACGATACAGCCCACATTATTTGACGTAGAGCGCCAACATTTAGCAGAGCTATTTACATTGTGTCTATAATGGTTGGTGTTGAAAATGAGATATATCGGTCCACGTTCTGGTATAGTCCCCATATAAAGGTACCTCCCGATATTCGGTATTTTGATGGTTTTTGCCACATTTTTTCACTGATTTGTCTAAAAATTGGTACTTGTGGGTCATAATGGGTCCTAATTCGTGTGGTGAAACATTGTAATTATAGGTCAACGTTTTGATGTAGCCCCCATATAACGGTACCTCCCGATATTCGGCATTTTAATGGTTTTTGCCACATTTCTTCTAATGTTTCTTTTACCTTAAGGTGGGGGTATTAAAAGTTTGGCCCGGCCGAACTTACTGTTTTTTTACTTGTTTATTTTAAAACTCGATATTACATTTCGGTTGTTATAAATGTCTTCGAATCATGTACCTTGTCTTTAATATTTAATATTACCATAATTTTTTAGCTGATAATTTCTTTGAAAATAAACATTTCTTTTTAGATTAGATTACAGTAACACCCTATATTTCTACTCTTACCACGAATTTATTTCATGCTTGTGTTTTGTGCCATTATCTCCTTAACGATAACATTTGAGACATCAACCTTAACATTTATGAACTGCACATCCTTTGCACGACAGCATATGATATATGAAAACAATTTGGCAACTAAATACAAAAAAACTTCGCAGAAAAACAACCAAGAAGCTACTTAAAGGAAGAATGCAAATACCCCAAGAGTGGACGACACATGATGTTAACAATTGTCCTTGCATGTCTTTTCGTCCTTTATTTAGTTGGCATTATGCATTTTCCATTAGATTAAAGCAACTTCTTCTTGACAACTGCACAGTTTTGCTCCACACATTAGACCAAGAGAAAAAAAAAAG